TATATATATATATATATGTATATATATATATATACACCCTCGGTTGCTTCTTGCGGCGCATGCAGCCGCAATGGGGCCCTCATTCTTTTCTTTAATTTTTTATTTATTTTCTTTTTTTATTTTGTTTTATTTTGTTTTATTCTTTTGGATAGTTGTTTGTATAGAACACAAACCCTAAACCCTAAACCCTAAACCCTAAATACAAAAACAAACAAAGCACCTAAAACAAAAAATAAACAAATACAACACACAAACAAAACAAACAAACAAACAAACAAAAACAAAAACAAACAAACAAACAAACAAACAAACAAACAAACAAACAAACAAACAAACAAGAAAAACAAAAGCAGCAGCAACAAAAGACAAACCCTTTGTATATATCACTGCATCTCCTGCGGTCTCCTCTCTACCAATGCACCGATAGGTGCAGCAGCAAGTGCTGCTAGGGGGGCCCCCATGGGGGCCCCCAGTGGGGCCCCCAGGGGGGCCCCCCCCGCAGCTCCAATAGTTAATGAGGGTTCTGCATGCATGTTTCTCCCCCTTCTTCTTCTTCTTATGCCGTCTAGAGAAGAAGAATAAAAAAAAGGAATACAACTAGTATCAATTGCACCGAGAGGGGGACTGCTGCTGCTGCTGCTGCTGCTGCTGTTGCTGTTGCTGCTGTTGCTGCTGCTGGGGTTTCCGATTATATGGGGGCCCAAAGAAGCTGTAAGTCCCCGTTCTGCTGCACCAGGATACCAAGGTTCTGCTGCTGCTGTTGCTGCTGTTGCTGCTGCTGCTGCTGCTGCAGCAGAAGAGCCCTCAGCAAGCAAAGAAGAAGAACTCTGTATCATCATATATTGATGCTGCTGCTGCTGCTGCTGCCGCAGCTGCTGCTGCTGCTGCTGCAGTGCACGAGAAGATGTTAAAGGAAGATTAAGCCACCAAGGAGAGCCCCGCTGCCGCCGCAGCCGCTCGCGGGTTTGGCGCAGGATGCCCCTGAGACAAACCCTAAACCCTAAACCCTAAACCCTAAACCCTAAACCCTTAATATTAGATTTTGTGTATCATAAACCCCCGATACAGAAACAACTAATTCTACTTCATTCGGCATCGGTAAACCCTAAACCCTAAACCCTAAACCCTAGACCCATCCCCGAAACCCTTGACTCGCACCCTTCTAAACCCCAAACCCTAAACCCTAAACCCTAAACCCTAAACCCTTACGCATGCCAGTTAGCATCCTCAACGAGTGCAGTGTGAGCTCTTTCTATATCTTGGTTATGCAGCAACAAATAAGAAACAAGTTCTGCTGCAGTGACATTCATTTCTCTTTCGAGGGTTTTTAAACGCCGGCAGTCTCTCAGCGCGTCTTCATACTTTAGCTGCACACAAAAAAAAAAAATAAATAAATAAATAAATAAATTAATTAATAAATAAATAAATAAATAAATAAATAAATAAACTAATAAATTAATAAATTAAATTAGTTTGGTTGTGTTGAGAGCATGCAGAAAGATACACGGAAAACGTGCGGCAGAATCACTGCTCTACAACAACTCTAGGGTTTAGGGTTTAGGGTTTAGGGTTTAGGGTTTCTAGTGTATATAAACATACACCCCTCGCCATGATCCGCTGTCTCGCCAGTCTAGGGTGTATATCTGTCTCTCTCATTAAACCCTCAACAAGCATAGCAACACAAG